GAATGGAGGAGAGGAAGAGAGAGAAAGGCGGACAGAGACAGAGAGAGAGAGAGAGAGAGAGAGAGAGAGAGAAAGAGAGAGAGAGAGAGATGGAGAGAGAAAAGAAAAAAAAATGAGAATGAAAGAGAGACAGACGGCGGTATTTAGAAAGAGAGAGAGTGGAATAGGCACATTAATAGATACAATGTTATAGAAAAAGACTCTAAGAAGGGACCGATAGATAGATAGATAGATAGATAGATAGATAGATTGATAGATATATAGATAGATAGATAGATAGATAGATAGATAGATAGATAGATAGATAGATAGATAGATTAAAAAGACGAAAACTCGTCATGTTTTTTTATTTTAAACCTCTAAGATAATAAGTAAATACATAAATTGAAAGCGAAAGCATTCTGCTAACTTTTTGCTTTTACGGGCGCTTATTCTTTAAAGATACTTGTTGATGTATTACTCTTTTAAATGTCGTACTTTTTCTATCATGGTGTCTTTTACTTCCTTCTATTTGATTCCTTTTCTTTTTCAATTACATGAGGATTAAACCTCCCTACTTTTATTCTAATTTTAGTTCTAACTCTGCAAAGTCCATGATTGGTGTTTGTTAGTCATGTGAGGGTTAACATTTTTGTTTTGTTGCACTATGCTTGAAGATACAGAGAGCGATCCCTGAAATACAAGTGCACAAAGAGAGAGAGAGAGAGAGAGAGAGAGAGAGAGAGAGAGAGAGAGAGAGGGGGGGATAAGGTTAGGAGAGAGCAATCCCTGAAGTGGAAGTACAAAATGGGAGAACAAGAAATGTCCATTTATGATGTATGGTCAACTGCCTCTGTACGAGTGGGTGGATCTCATTGTCTTTATTACTTGCTTGACCTATCTCTTGACCTTACCTAACCTCTCTCTTTCTTATCCGGACTCTCTTTCTCTCCATCCCTCTTTGTCTCTCTCTTTAGTATACATATTATATATCTTTATCTATTAGGCCTTTTTTTCTCTCTTTCTCTTTCCCTCTTCCTTTCTTTTTCTCTCTCGCTCACTCACTCTCTCTTTGTCTTTCTCTTTCTCTCTCTCTCTCTCTTTCTCTCTCTCTCTTTCTGTGCGAGTGTGTGTGTGTGTATGTGTGTGTGTGTGTGTG